CCGGCTATTTTTTGGTTGCAGCCGTCATTGTTGTTTGGCGGGTCTGGGCTGGGGATTCGAACCTGCCACCTTAGGTGTACATGGCTGGCCCCTTAGCCGGTTGAGCTATAGGCGCCGAGCCAGGAATTTTCTTGAGTTAATTTGTTGATAGTGTCTTCCCTTGGTTGTTTTTTATTTAAAACCTCTTTTTATTTGGAATTGGGCTGTTTGAAATGATCATCTTTTTCTTTTATCTTTTCTTCCTGGAACTGTCTGTTCCTAGAGTAGAAGTTCTTGTTGAAGATCACACTACCTGTAATTAGTGGAGATGGTTGTCGCACTCAGGGCTGGTAAAGGGTGTAATCTTTCTACTATGTAACAGTCCTTTCTATGAGTTGATTAACAGTTTAGTTGAAAATGACACTTTAAATTTTCTTAGCTTGGAGGTAGGAGAAGCACACTTTTCAGTTACTTTCTGTTTTACTTGTTTTCACTGCAGTGAAGTGGAAAGAAATCAATGAAAACTTTTTTTATAAGGCAAGGTCAGCTTGTACGTTTCAATCTAAAATCTAGGAATTCCCTTGTAAAAGTCATTGACATTGTTGTATTTTTATAACCATTTTTGATATCTGGTGAGCCCATGTCTATCTTTTTTCTTTTCAGTTAATAATGATAGTTTATTTCTCGATGATTTTTGAGTTCTACTCAAAAGGTTTCTGTAAGTTAGACTTATTTTTCAGGTAAAAGATGGACTAACTTGTTGTTATGTAGTACTCAGTTTGTGACTTTTTGGTCCTTAAATTTTAACAGTAGTTTTTTTTTTCTATATATAATAAGTATCTGTTGTTATATAGTTCCTTTTAACATTTTAATCCCAAAGGGTGTTTGGTTTTAGAGGAAGTGTATTCTTTCTAACTTGCAGATGCAGTAACTAAGACTTTGAGAGGGTTTGATTATTCAAGTTCATGAATAAAGAAAAGTTTTCATTCTTGACTGGTAGAACCTATTTCATGTCTCAATGACAAGGTAGTGACCCAATTCAGCATGTCATTACTTTGAGTTGACATTTCAAAATAGGGAAGGAAAAGTAATTCCTACCAAAAATAATTTCATATTTTCTTATTCATAGGCTAGTATGTTTAGATTAAGTCAGTGACATTCTAGGCCAGGCGTGGTAGCTCATGCCTGTAATTGTAGCACTCTGGGAGGCCAAGGCAGGTGGATTGCCTGAATTCAGGAGTTCAAGACTAGCCTAAACAAGTGTGGGACCCTCTCTCTACTAAAAATAGAAAAAGTAGCCAGACGTTTTGGCAGGCAACTGTAGTCCTAGCTACTTGGGAATCTGAGGCAACAGGCTCACTTGAGCCCAAGAGTTTGAGGTTGCTGTGAACTGTAATACCGTGGCACTCTACCCAGGGCAATAGAGTGAGACTCTGTTTCAAAAAAAAAAAAAAAAATAGATCAGTGACATTCTGGTATGTTTTATATAGTACACCTGAACAGGAGCAGCTAATGGTGGTGTGGCTAAGTTGGATGATAAAAGAAGAAGCCTATTTTGAGAGGTAAGATAACTTAATTTGTTTCAGTTAGTTGAGAAAGTTTTCTTAATTCTCTCTTTGGAATTTCATATTTTCTTTTTTGTTTCAACAGTACTTCAGGCGTCTCTGCTTCGTTTGGGGAGATGTTATTATTGGTGGCTATGTACTTTCACAGCAACCAACTGAGTGCTATCATTGACTTGGTTTGTTCCACTTTGGGAATGAAGGTAATTTTCTTTTCTTTCTAAAGGATGGTGTTTCTAATCTGGGCATTTTATTGTAGAATAAAGAAAATAGATTGTTTTTTATTTAAGTAATTTTAGTTGTATTATAGTTTGAAGTCTTAACAAACTTCAAAATATATTAAAATGCATTATAAAACATTTATTTACAAGAGTAATAGATATTCACTGCAGAGAGCTTGGAAAGCTCAGAAAATGGAAAAATATCTTATGATTCCATCATTCAGAGATACCTAGTATACTACTATTAACATTTTGGTGTCTATATTTTCTTTAGAATGATATGCTTTTTTTTTTGCAGTTTTTGGCCAGGGCTGGGTTTGAACCCGCCACCTCTGGCATATGGGGCCGGCGCCCTACTCCTTTGAGCCACAGGCGCCGCCCGATGTGCATAATTTTAATTTTAAAAAACATGGTCATGGCTCGGTGCCTGTGGCTCAAGCGGCTAAGGCGCCAGCCACATACACCTAAGGTGGCGGGTTCGAATCCCCAGCCCGGGCCTGCCAATCATGGGGACAACCAAACAACAATGATGGCTGCAACCAAAAAATGGCGGGGCGTTGTGGCGGGCGCCTGTAGTCCCAGCTACTTGGGAGGCAGAGGCAGGAGACTCGCTTGAGCCCAGGAGTTGGAGGTTGCTGTGAGCTGTGATGCCATGGCACTCTACCCAGGGGGATAGCTTGAGGCTCCATCTCAAAAAAAAAAAAAAAAAAAAAAAACATGGTCATGGCAGTGCCTATGGCTCAAAGCAGTAGGGCACCGGCCCCATATGCCAGAGGTGGCGGGTTCAAACCCAGCCCCCCGGCCAAAAACTGCAAAAAAAAAAAAAAACAAAAAAACCCAAAAAACCATAGTCATGTATAGGAATAGTTCCGCAGATCAGTAAATATTCTAATACAATATTATTATTTTTTTTAGACAGAGTCTCTGTTGCCCAGGCTAGAGTGCCATCACGTCATCATATCTCATAGCAACCTCAAACTCTTGGGGGTCAAGTGATCCTTTTGCCTTAGCTTCTTGAATAGCTGCGACTATAGGCAAGCACCACCATACCCAGATACTTTTTCTATTTTTAGAAGAGACAGATTCTTGCTTTTGCTGGTCTAGAACTCCTGTAGTCATGAGCCGCCTTGCCCAGCCCCCAGTCCATTTATTACATAATACATACCCTTCCAGCAAATTAAAATGCCAATATTAGTAATTAGTATTGGCCAGATGTGGTAGCTCACTTCTGTAATCCTAGCATTTTGGGAGGCCAAGGCAGGAAGATCACTTGAGGTTAGGAGTTCAAGACTAGGTTAAGCAGGGTGAGACCCTATCTCTACAAAAAATAGAAAAATCACCTGATCTTGTTGGCATGAGTCTATAGTTCCAGGTATTTGGGAGGATGAGGCAGAATTGCTTGAGCCCAGAAGTCTGAGGTTGCTGTAAGCTACGATGATGCCACTAAACTCTACCCCTGGTAACAGAGTGAGATCCTGTCTCAAAATAAAGATATTATTTACTGAATACTTTTTATGTTGGTTCTGTTTTTAAGGAAAAAAACACGTTAATGTTGGGTTTGAGAACCCACTTCTGAAACACAGTATAGTACTTGAACATTTGAACATTAATATTATATAACATAGAGTTTTAGATAATTTACCAGAGTTAATTATGTTTCATATATTATATTTTTACATGCTATTATGATTGTTTTGGTTGTTTTAGATTGTAATTAAGCCAAGCTCCTTGAGTAGGATGAAGACCATCTTCACACAGGAAATTTTTACTGAGCAGGTACTTCTTTTTATTCTTAGGTATTTATTTAACTTTCTTTAACAACTTCTCTTTGGGAAAAAACTTGTGTATCTCACCTTAAGAGAATAACATGGTCTTTTTTCATTCTTTTTCCATTTCTAATGATGAATTGTTTCATCTTTGAAACTTCTATGAAAAATAACCTATTTAAAATAAATTTTTTTTCTTTTTTGGAGACAGAGACTTATTTTATCACCCTCAGTAGGGTGCCATGGCATCATAGCTCATAGGAACCTCAAACTCTGGGCTCAAGTGAGTCCTTTGCCTCAGCCTCCTATGTAGCTGAGACTACAGGTGGCCACCACAATGTCTGGCTGTTTTTTCTTTTAGAGATGGGATCTTTCTCTTGTTAGGCTGGTCTCGAACTCCTGAGCTCAATCTACCCTCCTCAGCCTCCCAGAGAGCTAGGATTACAGGTGGGAGCCATTGCACTCTGCTTAAAATAAATTTTTAAAACTACTTGTATAAGAAAGCATATTTTAAATTTATATACTTTTGGACACTTTGAGTAGATACTTAGAGCATAGTCTTAGATATCAATGGTAGGGTATTCACAAGGGGTACTTATTTGGATTTGCCAGGAGAAAAAGATGTATTTAAACCTTTACACCGTTAGGTTCAGTTCTAAGTAGATTCTAAATTCCTTATTCTTTTATGTATATATTATTATTAGGCCTCAGCACTTTTGTTCATGGGTAAGCCCAAGGATATTTTATTTCTCACTGAGGAGTCTATTTTAAATTTTAATATTTATATTCTGAGATCCACATGTGAATTTAATTTAATTTTTTTTTTTTTTTTGAGACAGAGTCTCACTATGTTGCCCTTGGTAGAGTACCATGGTGTTACAGGTCACAGCAACCTCCAACTCTTGGGCTTAAGCAATTTTCTTGCCTCAGTCTCCCAAGTAGTTGGGACTATAGGTGCCCGCTACACCACCTAGCTATTTTTTGTTGCAGTTGTCATTGTTGTTTGGCTGGCCCGGGCTGGGTTCGAACCTGTCAGCCCTTGGTATATGTGGCTGGTGCCATAACACACTGTGCTATGGGCGCCGAGCTGTGAATTTAATCTTAAATTGACAAAATATATATGTCTTTAGAAATGAAATATTTGAGGAAATACTTACGAATCTATAATTGTTGTTTCTTTTTTTTTTTGGCCGGGGCTGGGTTTGAACCCGCCATCTCCGGCATATGGGTCCGGCGCCCTACTCCTTGAGCCACAGGCGCCTCCCTAATTGTTGCTTCTTTACTGGTAATTAATCTTTAATCCCTATACCAAAGTTTCCCTCTACCCCGCAACACACATATACACATATGGTCCTAAATACCAGTCATGTATAGGACATAGGAGCATCATAATTTTTTTTTTAATCTTTTAAATTAGAATCACTGGAAGACAACTTTAAGGAGGATTTTAAAAGAAAATTAGAGATCTATATATGCCATGTTGCGAATAAAAATTCCTATTTATATCTGTGTAATACTTTATAATTCACATAATGGTTTTCCAAAAAACATTTTTTTTTCCTCTCACTCTCAACAACCCTTTGAGGCAGGTAAGGTGGCATTGTCCCATTTTGTAATGTGAAAATAGATTCAGAAGATAAAGTGACTTCTTGGAAGGCATTGATCCCAGATTGTGTGATTCTAAGTTTTCTAATTTTTTACCTTATCATACCACCACATATATACATATGTTTTAAAATATAGTTGCTTCTATTCTATGTATTAATACTATTTTTTCCTCTTAGGTTGTCACAGCTCACGCAGTTCGAGTCCCTGTCACCAGCAACCTGAGTGCCAACATTACTGGGTTTTTGCCTATTCATTGTATTTACCAGCTTCTCAGGAGTCGTTCCTTTACCAAGCACAAAGTGTCAATAAAAGTAGGACCTTACATTTATATTTCAGAAAACATTAATGCTTTTTTTACAGTTCTGGTTTTAGTTTGTAGGTCTTTGCTGTGGGTTTTGTGTATAAAATGTGTTGTATTAAGCTAAATTTACTAGTCATTTATATAGTTACAGTAATTAGGAAGCTAATTCGTAATTTTTTTTTTTTTTTTTTTTTGCTAATTCAGATTTTTAGAATGAGGTAACTTATTAACAAAATGCATGATGTTAGTAATGCATTTAAATTCTCAAAAATAGCACATGCTACTTTATATATTTTAATTTAATTTTCATTTTATTTTATTTTAAGTTTATGTATTTTTCAAGATAGTCTCCCTCTTATCGCCATGGGTAGAGTGCCATGGCCTCAGCCTAGATCACAGCAACTTCTTTTTTTTTTTTTTTTTTTTT